CGTGCGCCACCAGCAGCGAGGAGCGCGGCGCGGCGGCCTGCAGCAGCTGCAGCGTCAGCGCCCGCGGCTGCGCGCGCAGCGAGAAGCTCTGCACGACGCCGCCCGATAGCTCCTGCAGCGCGCGTGCCACGCTGGTGTCGCGCAGCGCCGCGTACGAACCGTGCAGCCTGCGCAGTACTTGTGTGAGACCGGACCGGGCCGGGCCGGGCCGCGCCGGGTCGGGTCCGTACTCACTTAGCGTACGCTTTCTCCAGCAGCGGCAGCGTGAAGTCGTGCGAGCAGTGCTGGCGTGCGGTGCGGGCCGGTACCGTGTCACCGAGCGGGCAGTGCGCGCGGGCCGGTACCGTGTCACCGAGCGGGCAGTGCGCGCGGGCTGGCAGTCTGTCGTCCACCACTACGTCGCGCCACTCGCCGAACACCCAGAACCGGAACCTGCACATCGCGCCACGCAATCTGTTACAGCCTAACTACGATATACAACGCAGAACTGTGACCCTCAAGTCTCGTTCTATCGCGGGTTTCAGGTATTTAATCTTAAGCTCGATAGATGGCGTTGTTGATTTTGTGAATATTGTAAATAGCGATGTTAAGTTTCTTCGCCAATTCATAAATCCCCGTGGTTCGGAATAGACATTGAAACAACGTCAGTATTAACAATTAACAAGAGCACGGTACCTGAAGGCGCCCACGTAGCGGTGGCGGAAGGAGTGCGGCGGCAGCGCGCGGTCCAGTAGGCGCGGCGTCAGCGCCAGCGCGCCCGCCGCCACGCCCAGCGCGCCGCCCGCTGCCCAGCTGGAATATTTCAATAAGCAATTGCAATGTTTAACAACACATTTCTCCATTTTCGAATTAATTTGGCAAACTTTGAACATGTCATGTCTGTAAGAAGGCCGGGGGCACCTTTCGAGGCTTGTCATTTTTTGTACGGCTATTCGACTTTTCGTCTATCTCAATGATTCCGGCTCACCATGGATTGCGTGAGGTTACCTGAGGCCCGGCATCAAGTGGTATAGTCATAGTCAAGTAAGACACAACATGAAGTGTGGTGTGGGACTTAGTGATGTAATGAATTTTAGACTTTCGCAAATGCGAATATCTGCCGACTTTGTCTATGACTTTATTTTGACAATCTGATCTTATGGCACCGACTTCTAACCTCAGTGGGTGGGTGACCCATCAGTACTACTGATAGTTATTTTGTTACTTTTTAGCTTTGGTTTTTTGAAGTCGGTTTTATAAACGCAGTTTTTATTTTATTATTTTCAGTGTAAAGCTACATAGATCCGTTTTGTCACTTATAATCTGCATAGGTGCAAAGTTGTTATCAATACAAACTATACAAGCCAATACACAAGGTAGTCACTGTATACCGTTGAGGAGTTCCCTTAACAATTACACTTCTTCTTCGTCAGACTCTTAATGACAGTCCCACTCTATCTAGATGTAAAGTCCTCATCAATTCAAATTAATCAAGCCCAAACATAAGATAGTTAATATAAACCGCTGAGGAGTTCTCTCGACTGCCTGTCGGCTCCATCATCAGGTCGATTCCAGACACTTATCAAATTGTAGTGTTTAAAAATCTTGAAAAACATAATAGACGCATTACTCGCCCCTACAATTTTCGAAAGTTCCCCTTAGTTTCCCTGGAAATAGGACCAGTTCGGGAGTATACCCTTTCAAACAAAATAAGAATTTTGGAAATCGGTTCACAAATGGCAGAGTAATGCGCGAACAAACAAAAAAAATCAGCGGAACATAGTACCTCCTCCTTTTTTGTAGTCGGTAAAAATGGGCGTGTATGATATTTTCCTTTGCAGTCAGTCGCAAGACTAAGAACTAGTGTCCTTTCTGCTTTTTCAAAGCACGTCCCTCTGCTTCAGCCTGTTCACAGTAAGCGTCGGTTTTACAAGTTCATTGGCGCATATTTCTTCTTGAAATTATCAATTTCCGATTGAACAATCAGATCGTTGAAGTATTCGTGTATTTCTGCATTTCTGGAGAACCACGGAGCACTCGTGATGGAACGCAAAATGCTATTTTGAGCTCGTTGGATGCACATGATGTTGCTTTTACTAGCGGTTCTCCACAAAGGGATCTCATAGGTTCAGATAGGCTTTAACACGGCGTTGTAAATCAGCAGTTTGTTATCCACAGACAGGACTGAGTTTCTTCCCATACGTCAGTAAAGCTTCCTGAACTTGTGATTTATTTCATCTCGCTTTTTTATGTCTGTCCAGATGGAAACTACGATACTTTACAACTTTCGAATCAGGCAGCTGGTCGTTGTCAAATTTTACAGGGGGGCAGTTATCTCTTTTCAGGGTAAATGTGATGTAGGTCGATTTCTGAGCACTTGCCTGAATGCGCCACCTTTCCATCCATGAGTATGTCTCGTCTAGTAGGTGTTGGAGTTTATCAGTGGCCGCTAAAGGGAGATCAGCACTAGCGAGATACGCAACATCATCTGCATATGTAGGTACGGTGACTTCCTCAAAGACAGGTACACCCAAAGTGAATATGTTGTATAACGCTGGGCCCAGCACAGAGCCCCGAGGGACACCCGCCTGGATCCGTCGCAGGGCAGACCTGTATGATATGTGTAGGTATGATATTTTATGAAACTAAAGATATAGCGATTTTAAGAATAACCACGACATTTCTGAAATTGGCGATTCTTAAAAAAAATAATATTTTTATTGAATTTTAATTTTAAGACCTTTAAACAACTCAGCTTGATGATAATGATAAAACTTACTATTTTTTAATATAAAAGTCAAAAATTTGGTTTAAGCTTTGACCAAATATGGGATTCTTTGAACGATGTTTAAGGGCTATTTTCTGATCGGCGATGGCGACCTCTCGCGTCCGGGCCTAGTGCGGGCCATGATGCGGAGCGAGGGGGACTGGGATGCCGTCTCCTCCTTTTGCGAAGCAGTCATGCTAGCTAAGGAGGAGGCGGGACGCGTGAGGCAGCGAAGCGCTGCCTCCTCGCAACCCAGCCATCGCGAAGGACACACCGGGCGTCGGGGATCGCGGGACGATCTCCGGCCACCGTAAGCGCGGGCCTGCGGACGGCGAGCATGGGTGGCTCCCCGTCCGACCAGAAACAGACCCGAGCGTACGGCGCGTCGCGTTCCGCGCGCGCCTCAAAGAGCCATCAGACCACCACAGATGGGGCCCAATAGGGCCGATGCCGATTCGGAGTCGCGGAGAACCTAACGGGTAACCGGGGCTCCGGCTCGACGTGCAGGAGAAGGAACGGGGTGGTTTTTAGTCAGTAAGAGTCTGACACTCCCTCCCGCCTCACCCAGGCGGGGGCAGTCATTCGATGATTTTCCCCCCTTAAAAAAAAAAAAAAAAAAAAGGGCTATTTTCAAATTACAAGGAACTGAGTCGTGTATCCCATATTTTAAAAAACATAACATCCTCACTTTGCCAAGTCTGTACATCCTTGAGGTCGCGTTATTTTTTAAAAACAATCCCAATCTATTTACGTTCCGTGAGCGCGTAAGACACGAAAATAAATTACACATAGTTCCAAGCAGAACACATCTAATGCACGAGTGCATAATATTCTGTATAGTAGGTATCGAAGATATTTAATAATATTCCGGGAGATATAAGAAAGATCAAAGAAACAACCATATTTAAAAAGAAATTACATGACATATTGGTGAATAAATGTTATTATACTATAAATGATAACCTAAATGACAAATCCCTGCTACAATATTCTATACCAAAATCATGACGTGTTCAGTATTACCTATTGTACTTATTTTACTAAATAAATCATAATAATTATTTGACATAAGCATTAATCGACATGACATATGTAATTTATCTAATAATTTCTTTTTTTATTATATAATTGACTTATTTGAACATTAATATTGTACCCAACTATTGTACGCCCTATGGGCAGGACACAGCTGAGCTCAACCAAATTATGATAACAACTGTATTATGTAGGTATCTACCTGTGATCTACAATGAATAAATGAATTTGAATTTGACTTTTGACAAATTATTCCTAATGGTGAATCCAAGGTCTGCACCAAAATTCGGCCCATCCCTAATTTATTATTTCAGTTGTCTAAGTACTTTGACCATCTGTTCCGACTTTAGATTAAAAATAAAAATATGTTGAAGTTTTAATAACACTGATAAAAGTGTCACAAAACAATGTATTTTATTTAGTAACATCTTGTTACCTACCTAGTCACTATACCAAACGCTCATCAAAAATTAATTCAAATTCAAATTCAAATCATTTATTGCGAATTTAGGTCAAGTTAGTGTAGATGTGACAGTAGTTATTATAAAATGATTTGATCAGCTACATTCTGCCAATTAGCATGCAATACTTTTTGTGAATAACAATTACAATTTATTATTTATTACTTACATTATTTGCATTAGTCATAAGAAAATATTAATTACAATTATAATTTATTATTTATTAATTAAATTGTTTAAATTAGTCATAAGAAAATATTAATTACAATTACAATTTATCATTTATTACATTATTTAAATTAGTCATAAGAAAATATAGGTAGATGTTACAAGTAGTCCAAGAAGATAAAATTAAGTCATTATTATCATAAAAGAATTAATATCATTGAGTCATAAACACTAAGCAAACCTAAAACTCAACTGAATTTGTCATTAAGATAATCGTTTACATTATAATAATTATGCCTTATTAATAAGTAATTGCTTTAATTTAAATTTAAATGTTCCTATGTTTGAACATCGCAATATGTCAAGCGGGAGATGGTTGTATGGTTGTATTACAATATTATGATTGCAAGACTCTTTCACATGGGAACAAAGTCAAAGTCAATATCATTTATTTCAATTAGACCAGAAAGGCACTTTTGAACGTCAACAATAAAATTAAAAGTGAAGCTATTTACTTTCCAAGGTGTAGATTCCTATGAAGAAGAACGAGCAAGAAACTCCATAGGTTACTCTTTTTCAATCAGGTTCACAATACAATTCTCTAGTTACATTAGTTTTGCTGTTTGGATTGCGCGAAAACAATGTAACACTAAAATCTAGTCAAAGTGATAGAAAAAGAAAATAACCTTAAAGACAATAAATAATACAGTCTGGAGATGACCAGTCCCAGTTGACGGCGCCCGTTCACTAACATGACACGTACACCAGCACCGCCCAACTCAACCATATTGTAGGGAATCGAGCGATCCACTGCACGCGCCACCGCCAATGAGACCTTTGAGTGAGCATGACAACTCCAAGCTGTAAGGACATAAGAACATCTTTGTAACTCAAGGTTGATTGAGAAACAATAAGGTACGTTGCGCTTAATCAGCGAATAGTTTTAAGTACTTTAGTGTTGTATGGTTATTGAATATAAGGAAATTTGGCAATAATAAATCAGACTTATTGGCAGCAACACGTCTTTGAATTTACCACCCCTATGGAGATATTGCATGGCGACCCTGCCACTGAACTCAGAAAATTATATTAGAAGAATGAAAATGAAGCCAAACTAAGAAGTTACTTTTCAAGATTGAAGTAAGAAAAAAAAAACCAAAGAAGATCTCGAAGACAGAAAATATACCAAGATCATAATATGGGAAAAACTTATTCAAAGGAGGAGGTTGTCGTCGCGCAAAACGCCAACGGTGAAGCGAATGCATCTGCTCATCAGTCAAGGGATGCTCTTACTGTCGCTGAAGTACTATTAATAGTAGTAGTGGTAATACTATCTACCGCTGGCATTTACTTCATCCTAAAGAAATGCCAAAATGCTGCTG